CAACCTTGGTACACCATATTTTTATGCTATTTGAGAACGAACGGCAGCCATTTTGTCTGTCAATTTTGGGCTGATTTTCAAGAAATTCAAACTCAGCCGTCCTTAGGGTGTAACGGTTATATATTAACACGTTTTTTTAAATCGGATAAAAATTATGACCTCTATAGGGTCCCACAAGCCAAAAAACGTGTTTTTGAGCACAATCAGGGGCCATAATTCATGAAGTTACGGTCCGATGTGCGCGAATATTGAAAGGAACCGAGATCTTTGGGTTATAACCTTACATTTCAAGTTTCAACAAAATCGGACAAAAATTGTGACCTCTATAGGGTCCACAAGCTTGATATACCATATTTTTACGCTATTTGAGAACGAACGGCGGCCATTTTGTCTGTCAGTTTTGGGCCGATTTTCACGAAATTCGAACTCAACCGTCCTTAGGGTTTAACGGTGATATAATAATACGTTTTTTTAAATCAGATAAAAATTATGACCTCTATAGGGTCCACAAGCCAAAAAACGGGTTTTTGCGTACAATCAGGGGCCATAATTCAGGAAGTTACGGTCCGATATGCGCGAATATCAAAAGGAATCGAGAACTTTGGGTTATAAACTTACATTTCAAGTTTCAACAAAATCGGATAAAAATTGTGACCTCTACAGTGTTCACAAGCCAAAAACGTGATGTTTCGTACAATCAGGGGCCATAATCCATGAAGTTATGGTCCGAAAGATGCCAATATCGAAAGGACCCGAGATCTTAGGGTGATAAACCTATATTTAAAGTTTCATTGAAATCGGATAAAAATTGTGACCTGTAGACTGTTCACAAACTATTGTGGACGGACGGACGGACAGGGGCGACGACAATCTACGTCCACATGAAAATGTGGGCGTATAAAAAAGACCTGCAATAGGCAGATTTAGCTCTTGCATAATGTATGTTCAATACAGATCATTCAAAAATCATGTAAATCTAACAATATTCTGCAAACCTTTTTATTGGTTTATTTATTCTTATGATTAAACAGTATATTTAATTATACTTTAAACCCAAATCCATTCCGTGTGGATCTGCAACAATTAAGCCTACTGCTAACAGTACACAAACACAGTGCAAATGATCGAATATGTCAAAGTGAATAAGAAGTGTTTTATTTGTCTTTTGAACTGTATGTTGCACTAACAAATATTTGTTTATATAGGGCTTGGTCCACATCCATATGTTAAATTTGAAGTAAATGTTCCTTTAATTGATCAGCTAATTGGTAGTACTCTAGCTAGGTCATAAACCATGTATTTGGTATACATGTAGAATTGTATATGTACACAGTTAAATCCTCTTTTTCTTGATCTGTCACATGATTTATTATTCTGTTGATTGATAAATTTGATTCACCACTGATTGTTGTTTTTCTTCTTAAACTTAACAGTTTGTTTATGATTACTGGTAAGAAAATGGTATCTGTACAAGAAAAAGATGTTTCACTCCCAATGTCTCATTTCATTACAATTTATCAAAACTGTACCTATTTTAATCAAAGGTGTGGAGGGGGGGGTCAATAAGTGTTCTCATATACAAGATTTTAAGTACTGTATCATATTGTAGAAATATGATATAATTCTTGGTGTAGCAGTATCAGTCTTGCATAAAAACAAATTTTGTCTTGGCTTTATTGTATTTCTTGCATAAACAGATGTTGTATGCCGCAGTTGGTTAAAAACCATCCTTGATAAATGAAAATGAAATGAAATGAAATGGGGTTTAACGTCCTACTGTTCTGCTCCTATACTGGGCTAATGAAGACGGGCATACGCCATACAGTGTGCTATGAGGGAAATTTTGCCCGGGCAGCGGTACTATCGCCTACTCTTATATCGAATTCCAACTGCCAAGGGATCTTTTACGTGCATTCTAATGTATACACGGGACCTCGGTTTTTCGTCTCATCCGAAGGACTAGACAGCTGTCCTTGTCAGGCCCTCCATTCTGCACCACTGACAAGGGGAAACCACGTCAGAAAATCAGGATGAAATTTCTCAGCCAATCATCCTTGATAAAACCTTTAACTTATCAAAGTCCTAAATCAATGCGACCAGTCTCGATTTCATTGCCAACGCCATTATCTGTAGGACAAATGGTATGGGCAGTTCAGGATTCTTGATAAACCAGTTTAATTCAGACAATGTACATGTACATTTACCAAACCAGCCTACAAAAAAAATATTCAACATTATTATGGCTATGATATAATTTATGATTGAATATCTTACTTTGGGTACATTTGGGTCCAGCTACATGTACATGTATTAGAGCAGAGTAAAAACTGTTGGTTTTATTTTTTCTCACGATTAAAAATAAAAAAGTTCTCTTGCACAAAGCATTACATTATTGTATTCAATATTTAAGATATTCAAGGAATTTCTCTGTTTCAAGAAGAACAAATAAATAAATGTTATTAATTGTAGGCGATGATAAAATCTATAGTCGTCTAATTATTGAAAATACAGGCACTAACTTACGTGTGGATCAAAACTATAGGCCTACATGTATTTCAATTCCATAGTTTTGGAGAAAAGAGGATAGCCTACTCAACTGATTCTAATTATTAAGTGGCCTATTCCAGCAATAAAATCAAAATTAACCGTAGGCCTATACTATTAGTATTAACAATGATTAGGCCTATTAACACTGATTAGGCCTATCAATAAAACTGTGTTCAGTTTGTGGTCATGCTAGCTATAGTTATATACAAACTACCAGTACCACTCAGAATAAATTATCAACTTACATTGTTTGTATTTCCATTCTGTATGTCTATGTCGACAGACAACAATCACATCAACGAACAAATGTCAACACATTATGATCAGCATTGTTTCCTTCTTGCAGCCTGTAGGACTATATAATCCGTACAGCCATAAAGTGTTCTCCCTTCTTCTAGTGATTTTTCACACAAATAACATCTACAACTCATAGATTTGACGTCATATGGAGGACGCCATATTGCCACGCTACTGGCACCATTTTGTGCTTCGGTCGGGTCTATTTCAGACATACATAATCAATTCTGTTAATGTTTTTAGCATGGGGATTGACTAATAGTTTATTTATTTCAGATCTAAACAAAAATTTAAAGGGACAATAACACTCTTGCTGGCTTGACAGCTCCAGAAAATGAAAAATAGCCATATTCTAAGTACTAGATGTGTTAGTGTCCTACCTGTTGTGTAAATTATCCATTATATCGTATTTTACTTGTCCAAAGGGTTCAAAAATATTTTTTAATCCAAGTCACATTTGAAAAGCTTTACGTCAGGCTTTACATCATTTAGTTGAATTTTTCCAATTTTTTAAATTAGGTGTGTTAAGATGAAATTTGTATCATCAATTAATTGGAATATTGTAAAATAGTACAATTTGTTGACTAGAATAAAGATTCAGTTACAACAAGAGTGGTATTGAGCCTCTAAATCTTTAATGCAATTTTAAAAAATAGCCAAGTTCTGGCTGGGATTACTGCGCAAAATGGCCATTCACTGTATAAGTGCGAAAAAAAAGCCATTTTATCACGGTATACCAAAAAACGGGTATATCGCCCAACACTAATTTGTCTGGCAGTTATCGTCCAACACTAATTTGTCTGGCAGTTTTCGTCCGATTTTCACGAAATTCAAACTCAACCATCATTAGTGTATAACTGTGATATATTCACACGTTTAAATTGGATAAAAATTGTGACCTCTATTGGGACCACAAGCTAAAAACGGGATTTTTCGTAAATCAGGGGCCATAATTCAGGAAGTTATGATCCGATATGTGCAAATATCGACAGCAAACAAGATCTTTGTGTTATAAACATGCATTTCAAGTTTCATCAAAATAGGATCAAAATTGTGACCTCTAGAGGGTCCACACTCTTGATATATACCAATACCCAAAGTTTACATTATTTGCGTAAGGGGGGGGGGGCATTTTGTCTGCCAGTTTTGGTCCTATTTTCATGAAATTCGAACACAACGGTGTAACGGTGACATATTCAAATGTTTTTTTAAATCAGATAATAATTGTGACCTCTTGAGGGGCCACAAGCTAAAAGGAAGTTACGATCTGATATGCGCCAATATCGAAAGAAACCAAGATTTTTGGGTTATAAACATGCATTTCAAGTTTTACAAAATCGGGTGAAAATTGTGACCTCTAGAGAGTCCACAACCTTGATATACCATATTTTTTACACTATTAGCGTATGAGGGGCGCCCATTTTGTCCGGCAGTTTTGGTCCAATTTTGACGAAATTCAAACCCAACCATCATTAGGGTGTAAAGGTGATATATTCATACAGGTTTTTAAACTGGATAAAAATTGTTAACTCTAGAGGGACCACAGACTTAAAATGCGATTTTTCATACAATCAAGGGCCATAATTCCGGAAGTCACGATCCGATATGCGCGAATATCGAAAGGAACCAAGATCTTTGGGCTATAAACTTAAGTTTCAAATTTCAACAAAATCAGATAAAACGCGATTTTTCGTACTATCAGGGCCATAATCAATGAAGTTACGGTCCGATACATGCCAATATCGAAAGGAACTGAGATCTTAGGGAGTTAAACCTATATTTCAAGTTTCGCTGAAATCGGATAAAAATTGTGACCTGTAGAGTGTCCACAAACGATTGTGGACGGACGGACATAGGTGACGACACTATACATCCACATTTCAATGTGGGCCTATAAAATTTAAAAAGGCAATAATCATTTGTTTCAGATTTTTTCCACAGGTTGGAGGGTCTCCTAAATTCCACAACAGAAAACACGGTAATACTGTGTTTTATCAAACCATCGTGATGTCAGTTCTGTACATGAATGTGTATGCAAAGCTTGTACTGATCGAGACAGGTCAAAAACCATTGAAAGCAATCTTTTAGAATCAGATCTTAAAAGTCAGTCCAATACTTGGCACAACAAAAGTAGGTTGTCACCATGGAATACTTACCTGGAAATTTCAACATCATAGCTGATGTCCATGTTGTGCTGATCTAACAATCTGAAAAAGAAAAGATGAAGATGACGACTTAGCTGAAGTTTCTCTAAATATAATAACCAGTATGCGGCTTCCACAATTTAACAGATACACTCAAAACTATCACTAAAGAAGATCAGATTTGGAAAACCATGATGTCAATTTTCAATGACTGGCTATTAATTAGAAACAAGATGTTACATGTATGTACATGTATCAATACACAACCAAGGTCAATTAGATTTTGGTAAATATATCCATAGAGCATGTCCATCACTCAGTAGTCCGGCCAACGAATCATGGTAAATATTGAAAATATATCATCATGGATAAAGAGACTAATAATTGTTTCCCCTTTCTCCTCCTTTTGCGTGGCATGAATTAAGGTGCTCGCCTTTCAATATTTTATTTAGAAGATTGTTATGTTACAAAGATTGAGATTATCGGAATGTTCATAAAATTGTTATAAGCCAGGAAATGTTATGGTTTCTAAACATGGGTTCCATGTCGGTCGTACATGCCGGTCGGGACCAGGGGCTTTGGAAAATGACCGAAACTGGATCATTTTGCACGCCGGTAAAATAGCATATTTTGTGCTAAATCATAAAATCCCCGGACATGACGAAACTCTGTCCGTGTCGTGATGTAAACTGTCGGGTATAATAAAATTAACAGTGTTCAGTAGCCCACGAATGGAAACCACTGGCAATTATTTATCCTTGTGTATATTGCCCTAATCACAATCAACAGAGGATTAACATCAAACAGATTAAAAGCTTAACATTTAATCAATTTATTTAGATGTGTGTGTTTTGTTTTATAATTAGTAATACTGTGATCATTCTTTAACTTGAGTTGTTGTTACAGCATATTTTCCGACTTTCATCGCTCGTGCGGCCATATTTACTGTATCAACATCAAACAAATTAAAAACTTTTCTTTGATGTCTTCAATTAATTACAAGAGTTAATCATGTCAACACTGTGAATGATATATACTATTCAAAAAAAGTAGGGGATATTTGATTTTTAAGTGTTATTAAAGTCACCTAATGAAACTGACGAAGAAACAAATGACAAAATGAAATGAAGTTCACATTCATCGATTTATTCCAAATGATCGTTAGACTAAGTAAGGCACAGACTGACCATTATAAGGGTAAAATGATACCCGGGGTCAAACAGCAAAGTTACCACATCATCACAACCAAGTCAGTAACGGGTAAATCCTCCTCTGTTTGCCAAACAAGCATTGATCCGACGTGGCATACTCCTAATGAGACGTCTAAGGTCATTTTGGTCCAGATTGTCCCATTCCTGTTGCAACGCAGCAGCAAGTTCTTGGACATTGGCAGGACGTTGTTGACGTTGACGTAACCTCTGTCCAAGCATGTCCCAGACATGCTCGATGGGGGAGAGGTCGGGACTCAGTGCTGGCCAAGGTAATGTGGTGATGTTCTGTTGTTGGAGGTAACCTGTAACGATCCTGGCCCTGTGACATCTTGCGTTGTCATCCTGGAAGATGAAACGGCGGCCATGACGTCGTGCGAACGGCACAACATAGACTGCCAAGATGTTGTCCCGGTAGTACTGGCCTGTAACACGCCCTGCAACAACATGTAAAGCCGTTCTTCCAGCAACATAACAGAACCACCCCCAAATCGATCATGTCTGATGACGTTAACGTCTTGGAAGCGCTCGTTTCGACGACGCCACACCCTCCTACGTCTGTCCAAAAAATCAACAGTGAACCTTGACTCATCTGAAAACATCACATTGCTCCAGCGTCGATTATCCCAGTGTTGACGATCCCTACACCAAGACGTCTTGCCTGAATGTGATGATCTCTCAAACAAGGGATCACGCGAGGACGTCGGGCGCGAAGGTGACCCCTATGCAGTCGATTCCGAATCGTCTGGCCACTCACTCTCACACCAGTGTCTATTTGAAGACGAGCGCTGATCTGATTTGCTGTGATGACACGATTTCTCAAGGCCATGGTACGGATAAATCGATCCTGGGCTTGAGTTGTCGCCCTTGGTCGACCTGAGCGTGGTCTGTCCTGTACAGATTGTGTATCACGGTATCTGGACCATAGCCTGCTTATGACAGACTGAGAAACATTCATCGTCCAGGCCACAACCGCCTGTGTTGTGCCGATCTGTAGCATTCCAAGGGCACGTAACCTTTCATTTTGGGTAAGCCGACACATATCAAAATTTGTTTTCTGGTCACTAAAACAATTAAACTGATGTTTCCACCCTGGAATTCAATGCCACAATGACTGTAACATTCAAAGTCAGAGTCGTGCAAATCTTGGGTTGGACCCCCATGATGATCCCAAGCATCACCTGCATTCCATGCGGTAGCTATTGGTGCGTTTGGGCGTCACATGTAACTGGAAATGTTTCTTCTGTTAGGTTCTATAGTGACTTTTTTCGTAGTCATTTGCATATTTTAGTATTATGCCCCCAAAATCAAATATCCCCTACTTTTTTTGAATAGTATATATATACATATAGCAGAAATGTCAGCATTCACTATATCATTTCAAAATGTTGAAATTCCTAACCTCCCAGAATAACAAAAGAAAGCGAGATGATGATATTGCTGTCAATGAATCCGACCACCCTTCTTCAACACCGGCCCACGAGAAAGACAGTTCCGCTCCGAAAAACAAAGTCAGCCGTAAATTCTCTACTAAATGGTCACAAATATTCCCGTGGTTAAGAATGATATGATATTCCCACACAAAAGGTGTATTGCCAGGTGTGTTTTTAATCCCTTTTTTTTCTTTTATATAACAATTGATAGAAGTCACTTTGCTTGACACTGAACTTTCTCACTGGCCGCCATTTTGAAATATGTGCAAACATCTTGACATGTTATCGAGTGAAAATACTAGCACGATATTATTTGAGCTCACAAAATATCAATACAAGTTAATATGTTGATAAGTTTAAGAATTATGTTAATTATTGCACATTTTTATGACTTTGAATTATTTACGTGAGCTAATCATTCGGAACTACTTTTTCCCCCGTGTATGGAGAAATAGTCAACAGCCGAATTCGTCACATCCGCAGTGTTGACTGCGAGCAGGGTTTCTCATGCCAGAACGTAATAAAAACCAAGTTACGATGTTCCTTGAGCATGAAAACTCTTGACGAATTAATGAGGCAATAATATACAGGCAATATTGTAAACAAATTAGGAAAATAGTGTACTTGCGATGGATGAATGTATCTTGTTATTGTTATATTTTATGAATGTATAAATAAATAAATGATGATAATTGATTACATGTGTTCTTTTATTTATAAGGGGGTGGGTGGGTGGGTATAAATGTCGATGTGAGATTGGATTTTTGTGTGACTGTCTTTGACCCAATTAAAGCCGATGACATTCCAATAGCATGTAGTTTTTGACTTCTTATTATGTGCTAAAAATAGCACCACTTTCTATGTGATGACCGGTTGGGAAAATTTTGAAGTGGAAGCCCTGGTTTGAACATTGAAGTCAATCGGAAGAGAATTACCAGTTTGAATTACTTCCCTTGTTTTGAGTTTTTATACGCCCACATTTTCATGTGGACATATATTGTTGTGGCCCCTGTCCGTCCGTCCTTCTACAGGTTTATCACCCTAAGATCTCGGTTCCTTTCAATATTGCCATGTATCGGACTGTAAATTTATGGATTATGGCCCCTGATTGTATGAAAAATCACGTTTTTAGCTTGTGAACACTGTAGAGGTCACAATAACCCACAGATCTCAGTTCTTTAAGATATTTGCGCATATCGGACCATAACTTCCTGAATTATGGCCACTGATTGTATGAAAAATCATGCTTTCTGGCTTGTGGACCCCATAGAGGTCACAATTTTTATCCGATTTAAAAAACCGTTACAATATATCACTGTTACACCCTAAGGATGGTTGAGTTCCACTTTCGTAAAAATCGGACCGAAACTGATTCTCTAGAGATCACAATTTTTTTCCGATTTTAAAAACTCTTTAATTACATCACCATCGAAATGAAACTGCCCGACAAAATGGCCACTCTTTGTACGCAAATTGTGTAGAAGTGTGTAATACGAAGGTTGTGGACCCTCTAGAGGTCACAATTTTTATCCGATTTTGATGTAACTTAAAACATATCTTTATCTCCCAAAGATCTCTGTCCCTTTTGATATTTGCACATTTCAGGCCATAACTTTCTGGATTATTGCCCCTGATTGTACAAAAAATCACGTTTGTTTTTAGCTTGTTCTCTATCCATCTCTTGCAAAATGTGGGTGTATCCTGCCTGGCAGCCGCTGGTAAAAGATTATTTTATTTGTTTACTACTAGTTATAAACTGTTTCAATGGCATTTAGTAATTGAACTAGAGTATACAGGTCACAATTCTATGGAATACAATTACTGCTTACAACTGAGCGATGTTTCGACTAGGCTTCTCTAGTCATTATTAAGCTATGCTAAAAAATGAAAATGTTGTTATAAACTGAATAAAGTACATGTACAAACCATCACTATATTTCTGATATTTTCTGCCATTACATGGCTGATCAAAATACACACTAAAATAATATGTTCAGGAATGTTTCTCTTATGTATGTTTTTCATTTGTGAATTGCTTCCTGGCATGTTTTTTTTTTTCACTTGCAAATTAAGTAAATCTTTATATTGTTTATAAGGCATTAAGTGATAGGACTAACATTGAAAAAACACAACACAAGTTTATGGATAACAATCACTAGCAACTTTAATAGTGCAACGTTTCAACAAGTGTCTTCTTGTCGTTATCAAGCACAGGATAAAAACGATAATATGATACAAAAACCGTTCGTTCGTTCGTTCTTGGTGTTTAACGTCTGCTTCCACATAAGTGATATCGCAGGCAAGACATAGGAGAGTCGAAGCTGATTCCTGTTTTTTAGAATATGATTTTGCAATCTTTCCATTTGGCCTTAGGCCATGGAGTTGGTTTAGTGGGAAGTTCTTCCCTTTATTTAATATAAAA